GTTAATTTTGAAGAAAAAGCTTCAAATTTTATTTTCTTTTGTCTCGCCTTTCTGTGAAATTTGACACTGATGAGTCATTGTTTACACAGCTGGATGACCTTGAGAACAGCTGGAGTCGGATTTCCCGGGGCATTCTCATAGACGTCTCGGGAGGACAAGGGTTTAAAGTAGGGTGAATACTAACTAGGCCTATATTTTTAAAAAATTAAAAATTTTATTGTGATTTCCGATCCCCCCTAATTAAATAAATTTATATAAAATAAAATATATTAATTAAAAACTATTGGAGGTCGTTTTTGACATCAGAAAGCAGATTTAAATAACTTTACCGAAATCAAATCCATGCACTACAACTTAGGAACCATGAAATAAATTTGATAAAAAACTTCCATTAAAAACAATTAAGCCTTAATCGAGCGTTATCAAAGGCTCATTAAAATCGCGATAAAACTTTTTTTTGCGCGGGCAAAAAATTTTGAAAAAATTTGGGGACTTAAAAATTTTCCAAAAATTCCAAAAAATTTTTTTGGCAAAAGTGGCCTTAACTACCGAATTTTTCATAACGCTATGTAACATTCCCGAATTTTCTCGGGACCGGACTTAATTATTAATCAAGTTTAACGTAAATGTATGATCTGGCTTACAAGGGGACCTTACGGTCTCGGAAATTCAGTTCGGGATGAGACTTTGCAGGTTAGTAGTATACCTCAAGGGTGTCCACCCAGAAGAATTGTAAAGCGCACTAGCAACAAGATTCTGAGAAAAAAGGTTCTAAAGTTTTAAGCGCAGCTCATATACCGATCGATTTTATACTATGGCAGCACAGCGAAACGGCTGAGCCTGTAGCGAACTCTCTTGCCACGCGGATGATCTAGGTTCGATTGTACCTTCGGTTAACTTTTTTTTTAATTGTTTTAAAAATTGTAACAACTTTTAAATAAAGTTAATGACCTGAAAATATTATCAATTAAATCATAAATAACTCTCAACTTTCACACCTGGGAGCTAATTATTCCGTGAGTTTTCACAAGTCAGCAGCAAAAGTGGCACTTTCATATAACTTTCCGACCTATCGTCGAAAATTCATGGGTTGAAAATAACAAGGAATTAAAAAATTCTTCAATTTTAAAACGAATATTTTAAACCTCTCCATAGCTTAAAATATTTTTAAAAAGTTGAATAATTTCAAATGCATTTGTAATGGAGGTAAATTAAAACATTAATTTTAATTAAAAATTTTAAGAAATTTTAACTTTAGAGCCTTTTTTCTCAGAATCTTGTTGCTAGTGCGCTTTACAATTCTTCTGGGTGGACACCCTTGAGGTATAGTACTAACCTGCAAAGTCTCATCCCGAACTGAATTTCCGAGACCGTAAGGTCCCCTTGTTAGTGGAATAAGACAACACAAGAAATAAGTGATTTGTTTCAGGAAGAAGTTCTAAAAAACTACTCTCAGATACGTAACGAAATTCCAAAATACTTCACGTGACCACACCGTTGGGTAGGAGCGAACTCGCTACAAACTACTTGTGTTTTTTGTGATCAGCATGAAGTAGCGGAATGATATTAATGTATGAGTAATATCAGTAATATAACTCTGAATTACATGTGTAGAAATACCAAGTAATTACGTATATGTTAGAAACCATCGCGTTTAATTCTGCGTAATTTATATGCTAAACAGAAATCAATGTATATCGTTTAATTCTAGATGGCCGAAGTATGGAAAAATTATCACAGTGATGTTAATTGTGGCAGGAGTTGTATCACACATTACTGATACGATTATATATAAAGATCATACAATGTTTGGTTACTCTATCGATGCTATGTAAGTACTAAAATTTTTTATAAATTCTTTTGCAGTATATTAGAGTGTAAATTTATAATGCATGTATACATTTTCACACACAAAAAAGAGTATTTAAATTTTATTGTCAAGTAGAGTAATACAATACAACACCTTTTATATTTTAAGATACTATTGCGAAAACCGGTTAAAATCAAAATGTTTCTTTGCGATTTGTATGTTGTAATGCCAACTTTAGAAAATATTAATTATTATAAACACAAGAATAAAGAATGGTGTACCGGGTGATTTAAGAATGGTGTACCGGGTGAATAAAGAATGGTGTACCGGGTTTATTAGAGTATTCCTGTTCGACTCTGTCCAGGGAAATAATTAACAATTTCAATGCAACCAAATACAGTATGGTAGACAAAAAGAATAAATTTACATAAAAATATCATACGAAAATGATCTAATACGAAAATCACTAGCGAAAAAGCAGTCAAATCTTAATTCATGGGACATAAAAAGCATCACAAACGACTAATTCAAATCGATCTAACAACACATTGCTCAGACTTCAGATTTTGCAATACCAGAATGGGGACACGCCTAGTGTTCCTAGTGGTAAGAATGGATACAAAATTTTATACGAAAATATTTTCTGCGTGAAATGAAATTTCTTGATACCAGTTATGAAGGCTTTCGGACAGCTCAGTATTTGTGTAAATAGCGTTGAATAGAATTACTTAGTTTACCATCATACAATATTTTTGAGTGGTTATTAGTTTTGTTTTTAATATTATTAATGAACTACGAAGAGTTCAACCTTCATAGTGCATGAAGTAAGGAAATGATGTGCATGCCCACATAATCTGAAAAATGGACAAATGTTTCCATTCATAATAAGATAAAAATTCGACTGCAAAATAAGGGAACGTGATTTTTTAAATAACTTTTTCTTTCCTGTAGGCACTATGATGCATTTTTTAACAAGTCTGTTATGGGATTGGAACGCCCACGATAACGCGGTCTACTGTATATATGTGTAGCCATGTTATACACATATTTTAGTACACGTGTTAAAATGAACAAACTCCAAAAAATTTTTCTGTTTTCAACTTGTCTAAGAAAAAATCGGGCATAATATATGAGTGTGGTTTTCCGTTCTTCATATTTGTCGTTAGGCTCTGAAACGTATAAATTGTTTATAATATGCAAAATGTAGATTGGCTGTATTTGAATGTGTTTTTTCAATTTATCAACTTTTTCTTCAACTTGTTAAAATAGAAAAGTTTTAAATTTATTTTAATTCTACAATATTAATATATTTTATATTGTTTTTTTGGTTATTTTTAGAAAACATGCAAATTATTCAACTCGCAATTACTGGAAACCTTATTATTCACATCTTAACTCATTTTTTACTGGATTTTTATTCGGATGCTTTTTGTCGAAGAAAAAAGAAATTAAATTTGGATATGTAAGTATCAGTATGTTTTTACGAAACGCATACAATTTTACAAAATAACAGCGAGTATCAATAATTAATCTACGCCAAAGATTCGTAACTCTGTCTAAGGATGGAGTTACGAATCTTTGGAGTAGTTTAATTACGAATCTTTGGAGTTACAAGTCTTTGGTACTAGTTTAAGGACCGAGTTACGAATCTAGATTTTTTTCGTAACAACCCAGGAAATGCGGAAGATATTTCGGTTAGAAATCACTACCAAAAAACTCCTTTATGTCAGTTTTCACATTGTAAGCAGAAACATTTTATTTGTACAATACACTGATGCTATTAAAAAATCTTGGTGATGCAGGTTAATTACGAGTGTCGCGTAACTAGGAAAATATGAAACAAAAGAGAATAAACAGTGTGTTTTACACTCGACTTTATCCTTTCTAATGCAATTCATATGCGGTGCCGGTATTTTCATGGTGCCAACAACAACTTATCCATAAATCGTATTTTGTGTTTCTACAGATTGAACTATTATCCGCTGCTCGCAAAACCAAAAGTGACAGAGTGGAAAGATTTAATACTAATTTAGTTTTTACAAATAATTTTCGTATATATTCAAACACGAAAATAGTAAATAAAATTCATAAATATTGTATAACGAGCATCATCACAATGCCAGGCTGCAATTTTTAACCATGTTTTTAATTAACATAATTTAAAATATATGCTGTCCACCTCAGATTAATATTGTTTTGCCCCTGTACATCATATTTTTTAGCAGTGAAGTCTACAGGTCCTTTATTAAGAGGAAAGGTTTGAATTGAAATAACGAGATTTGTGGTTCGCGTCATAACTTCACATATATAGTTAATCGTTTTCTCTACTCTTTCCATATCGGATTTTCAAAATTTTTTCTAATATCCTTCTCGAGATTAAGAAGAGACACACACAGCTTGCCAGACAACAGTGAGAATTTATATGTCTAGTGTTTACAAATTGCATGCAGCCAATAAAATTAAAATTGCATCTATTGATCGAACATCCTCGACTTCAGCATATTAACAGTGCGCTTAACGCCTGCAATCACCACATATGTTCGATTACATTAGTTACCATTACCGATTTGAATTTCCAAACGCAACTGTAGTGGCTTCCACACACTTCTCAGATTTCATTGTTAATAATTAATGGTTATATCGTGTTCAGCTAACAGATGTTTTTGTATATTTAACAGCTTTCGTTATCTAATTAATATAGATATGCGATGTAATTTTAAAAGTTGTGAGATTGAACAAATCATCAATTTAAAATATTGTATCCTTTGTGAAGAAGCGTATTTTAAACATCCTACATTTCGCTTGGATAAACTCAAGTTGAAACTTTTTTCGATAAACAGCATATAAGGCATATTAAGAGTTATTATTTTCAGAATGGATATAAAGTCGTAGAGACAGTAAAATAACGTTGTGATGTGTATGGAGAAGATCTCCCTTTCTAGAAGTTTTGAAGTAGACGATACGAAACATACTGAGTTCCGCAATGCTAAATACATGTAACCGAACATAGAAAATAAAGATTAAAAAACACTGAAAAATCATTTACTAGTGTAAGAATGCAACTATGCAAACGCGAATCTAGTAGCGAGTGAAAAGTTGCAAGTACTGTAGTCCTCTCCTCACAAAGAAAATCTATAGCAAGCGACAAACAAAACAACTCGCTAGCGAAGGCAAACTTCTCTCTGACAAATGTCTGACAGAGTTTGATGCTTTTCGCATGTTGCCTCTTTTCGCTAAATAATGTTATGTGCCTTTTCATAACTCTTATCAAGAGTATTGGTAGTGACTTCCCACCAAGTAAAAATGTCATACAGGAATCAAAGTTGCCGATTTCCGGGAATCGATTCTTCTGCTCTCTAAACAGCTAAAGTAATTCCGAATACCTCGTACGAAAGAAAATAAATTGTGTTCGTAGGTAGTTTGCAAAATTTCAAAATTATGTTTAATGCGGTTGCCGAAATACAAGCTATCAAAACTTGCAAAAAGCTGTACTTTTTTCTTCTTCATTATCCGGCAATGCACACGCACAGTAGAAACGGAACCAGGCCCACCGGTGGCCAAGCTGTTTCGTTCCCTGAATACTGGTAGTTCAATCGTTGGTTTGCGCTTATCCCAAATGGGCAGGCCACGTAAAGTTTTATAGGTTTTCTCCACGTCTGTAACGACTGAATAGACAGCAATTACCGTTAAAAGACTTCCTGGAATGTATTAATCTCAGCGTAACAATCATCGTAAACGCATACAACAACAATTACGGCTTAATTTTATTCTTGCAAAGATAAAATTGCATGGAAACAAATGAATTTTATTCAAAATGTTGCTCAGGATTTCAAAAGCTAAAGACAAGCATTTTACTTGGAAGCGGTACTCGCAAAATTTTTACTTGTATTATTGTTTCCCACATTTCGTCTCCAAGCGCCGAGCTTATCTTTACCAAAGGAAAACTTTTAAGAAAAATTTTGACTGTCATCGAATTTGTCATAAATTTTTACTTGGCGTTATTTTCTTCATCTCAGTTGTTTTAGTTCTGATATATAAATATATTAATATTTTGAAACTATATGTGTTATAAACTAGCTAATTATACTCAATTTATAAGGAGAAATATCTCCTCGTAGCTAAAGAGTTTATAAAAAATTATTAGTTTGGTTCATTTGGTTACAGAAACGTGACACGTGGCCAGATATCCCACGTGCCACGTTGCTGTAACTAAGCGTGCTTTCTGTTATATTATATGTTGTATAATGCACAAGACTGACAAAACTTAGATTATTATTTATTACTACTAAAGAAGAGACACTCGTTATGGACTGTATGACAGACGACAGACGACTTTTGTTTTTTGTTGGCCGCTATGTGTCGCCACCAGTACATATCGTAACACGCCCTTTTTTTTTGAAAATACAAACATTAACAATATATACTATGTTTACAACTTTTGTGGACTTTNATTAAGCCTGAGAACTTAGCAGATGTTTAGCTCCCAGGTGTAAAAGTTGACAGTTATTAAACGAAAGTATAGCTACAATGTGAAATGATAAAGTGGTATAAACACACGGAAAGTCCGAATTCGGATTCTCACAACAGCGATAGATCAGTTTCTCATTATAATTAATAATGACGAACCTGTCAATCGTTCAAGTGATAGTTATGTCATCAATAATCTTCCTGATACAAATAGACTCTATTATTTGTGTTTTATATTATATGTGAAATTCCAACTGTAACAAAATGTTAATTTAATTCTTGTAGAAAATCTTCTACATAAGTATTCATTGGAGACATTTACGATGACAATGTTTTCGGCATCAGTATTATTGGAAAAATTCGTTATACGAAAATATTCATTAAATACTGAATATATTAAATATGTAGACAATGTTCATGTATAGTACACAAGTGATTCGCATTATTAGCCTACAACTTTTTGGTGCAAGTATATTTTACAGTCGAAAGGCTATAAAAATACGTATATCTCTTAATACGTCTCAACAATAAATGTAATATTATTTATATACAAAGTCGAGTATCACTAAGAAAGTGAAGAATTCATGTTCTACTTTGATTAATTTACTACCTAAAGATTTTTCACTTGTACTGTTACCAGCGGGTATCATTAGTCATACTAGTAAATCTGAGTGCAAATAACACATGCTACTAATGGGTAAAATTAAGGCACATTAAGCACAGTTACGGATACTGTAAGGTCTCCTTTTATGCGGATTATTTTTATGCGATTTTGAAGTTGTGCGGTTTGTATTTCATCCAAAAATTTCTTGGACAAACATACATATAGGCTTGTTTAGGCAGCCCGCGTATAGACAGTCTCCAAAAATCGTGGAACGCTCAAAGCTCACTCCATTTGTTCCACTGACATATAACGTTTATGGATGTAAAGGACAGCTAGATCTACCTTAATCGCTTTAGTTCCTAGCAATTTTTTATATAAATGTAATTAAACATAAAAAATACTTAAAACTAAAAAAAAACGAAAGAAATGCGTTAATTTTGAAGAAAAAGCTTCAAAGTTTAACTTCCTTTGT